AAGATCTGCTTCTCCTTTTTCAGTCACTGCTCTGGGGTCTTTCTGGGGGTTACGTTTCCTTGGGATGTGTGTATTTTTTAAGCGTGTACCAGTCTGGGACCCTTTAAGCCCACTTCCTTTTACGTTTTTATTTTTCTCTATGGCACTTATCCTTCTTATAGTCCTTTATAAAATTCGTGGGTAGGGAGGGGGAAATAGTTCTTTAAACTTTCAAAATGGTCTACTGCCCTGTCCCCCCTGCTTGTTTTCCTTTTTCTCCTTTTTTCCTCTTCTTCCCTAGTCCCTCCTCTCCCCCCTCCTTCCCTTAAGCCTCTCTTCTTCTCTCTGCGAGCCTCTTCCACCTTTTTTACATTCTCCAGGGGTCCCCCCATTTCACTTACACTCTTTTCTTGGGGGTCAGCACAATAGTTCCTCAAATGCAAGTCACAGTTCATTCTTTCAATCACTCACCTCCTCCTATGTCCTCTTCCAGTGAGTGCACTTCTCGCTCAGTTCCTCTGAGGGTCCATTCATGGGGGGGAACTCCCCCAGGGTCTCTTCAGGACTCCTTGTCCAGGTCTCAGTAGTTTCTCCTTGCAAAATTCTTTTAGGCTCAAGGGGTTCTAGGGGTGATAGGGGGAGAATGTGTCGGCCACCGGCAAACAGGTCGGCGTTGCTCTCTCACTGCAAAAAACGCCGGCCGGCTTCCCGATCTCCTAGTGGTGCTTTGTGGCCGGTCACGTGATCGCACCGGCCCCCTTCATCTCCCAGCATCCAGGGACTCTCTCTCTGCCAGTCTCCAGCCGCTCCTCCCTCTCCCCTCGCCTGCATCAACCTCTCCTCCACCGGGAGCCGTCAGGACCGGGTAAGTCCCACACCGCAGGGCTCTAACATGCCTCAGGGGCTAGGCTTGGGGAGGTCAGACAGCAGAGCTCCATCCACGAGCTCCTACATTGAGCTCTCCCCTGCCGCCATGTTCAGGCCCCCCGCCCACCTGGAGGAGCTCAGTTATGAGAGACGATTACAAACAAACTTTATTCTCCTTGGAGAAAAGATGCTTAAGAGGGGATATGATAGCAATGTACAAATATCTTAATGGTGATTCTAACATAAGTAACAAACTATTCAGTCTCAGGGAGTGTAAGAAGACACGGGGCCACTCAATGAAATTGGAGGAGAAGCAGTTGTACCTTAAACTGCGTTGGGGGTTTTTCACTGTCGGGGGATGTGGAACTCCCTTCCACAATCGGTGTCAGTGGGAAGTATTGATAGTTTAAAAAAAACCTCTTGGACAGGCATCTCAGCGAACACAGTATACAGGAATATGTTTTTTTCCCCCTCTCACAAGAGAGGAGGAAAATAGGAGGACAAGTTGGAGACACACACACACATACATGCACACCCTCACCCACACCCACCACAGGTTGAACTGGAAGGACTAGTGGCTTTATTCAACCTTACCAACTATGTAACAATTCACAGTAAAAATAGAGGGGGATTTGTTTGCACACATTTTTACATTTTTAAAAAAGCCATAGTGCCTACATCAAGGATCATCTTTGTACTGTGGTCCTAACTCTATAAATTTCAGAGTCTCCCAAATTGGAGCACATATAGCACTGGATCGATTAAGAGCAGTTTTGCCTGGAGGGAGCCCACCCCTCCTTAAAGGCATTAGGATGCCCAGCAAAAGCACAATGGCATCTGAAGGCATCATGTGTGTCCCTGCATGCAGTTCAACTAACTGTCCAAAAAAGTGGCAGCCACCCCAAACTTATAACTAGTCTTTGCAGTAAGGTGCATATGGAAGGGCAATGCACATCACAAAGATTTCCCAGCAAACTTACTAGCTAGCTGCAAAACAACCAAATTGACCCAGTCTGACAATTCACGTTAAAAACAGAGGGTTTTATTTTGTACACATTTGCAAGTGTATGCGTAAGCCACAGTGCCTTTGCCTTCAGCTGCCATTGTGCTTTTGCTGGACTTCCAGTGCATTCCCGTACCTTTTAAGGAGGGGTGGGCTCCCACCAGGCAAACCTACACTTAATTTATCCACCGCTAGATGTGCTCCAACTTGGAAGACTGAAAAATTATAGAGTTAGGACCGCAGTACACAGAGGAGCCTTGACTTAGGCACTGCGGCTTATGCATATACTGTATTTGCAAATGTATGCAAACAAAATAACGTAAATGAGATTAATAATGTATAATGAAAAGAAAAGGTTGTGTTTAAAAATTTCATAACATTTTAATGAGAAGGAAATTGATGAACAAGGGAGGGCAAAATATAAGCAGATGAAATATTATTGTAACTGTAAGAGGTGTTATTCACCTGCATCATACAAACAAACATCCGGTGGCTGCACATCCAGTAAAATCGCCTCTATTTCTTCTTATAGCATATTCCACAAATATGACAAGGATACAGGATTCCAGCTAATGCGTTTCACACTCCACTAGTGCTTAGTCATAGCTCCAGATATGAGCTATGACTAAGCGCTAGTGGAGCGTGAAATGCGTTAGCTGGAGTCCTGTATCCCTATCGTATTTGTGAAATATGCTATAAGAAGAAATAAAGGTGATTTTACTGGACGTGCAGCCATCGGATGTTCGTATATTGGAGTCTGCTGCAGACAGGGCCAGCACCTGGTATTTAGTGTGTGTATGGTATGGTGAAAGAGGGAACCGACCTGGGCCAGTGTTTTTTTGTTTTGTTTTTTTTTGTTATTCACCTGCCTATGTTGTGTGGCATAGCTGCGTGAATCTAAGGACTGGGTGGACAGAAATATAAATATTTTGGCAACTAAAACATCGCTTATATATGTATTTCATCATTGTATTTATCAGTTTGCCTGGAATTCACCTTTAAATTCTTTTATATGGAAGAAAAGATTGGCATCATTTTCAACAGATCCAGCTAAAATATTTATTGCTTCTGTTATCTGTCAGTGCGAGACACAAAGGAGGTGCATATATTCATGATCATGTAAAGCACATCTCTTGATACATGCTTCTTGGTGGTGTGTACGTCTTCTAATGTTCGTCTGTGATCATTGCAAATAGGTCTCATGGGTCTGTGCATACTAACTTGAATATAATTACCATGATTATCATTCACTTGTGTAGCACGTGCATATTCCCCATAATGAAGATTAGGCAAGTAACACTCTGTAAACGAGTTTAATATGTTTAATGCTCTTATCTAGAGAACTTCCTAAATAGAGGGTTGTTAAACTGAACAGGTATTGATTGAAAAAGTGCAATCTTAAAATAGTTTTTAGGAATTTGTCAAACATACAATACTTCAGTTTTATACTGCTGATCAGATAGTACAACTGTTAGCTGGATCAACACAAAATTTCCCAGCAGATCTTCGGATGTAGTTTAGGAGAAAACGTGAGATATCAAGGAAAAAGCATTACATGAATTAGGTTTTTAGCAGCAAGAAACTGTATAAGTAAATTTTCATCCTCAGTAAGAATCTGGCTTTGATGCTTTATGCAAAATTTATGTTTTGCATACCCTTTCCCATACACAAAGGCCATATGACCAATGCCATAACATTGGTCATGTGACCAATCCATTTTTTCCAGGAATCTATGAATCAACAGGTATATTTGCCATTTTCTCAGGAATCTATCAACTCTCATGATTTCTTGAAGGCTCAACAGGTATATTTTTTCACCTATTGAACTGATATAACAGATGCTTTTAATATCATATTTAACAGACCAAAATGATCCAAATAAGAGAAGTTAATTGAACTCAAACAATATTTAAACCTCCGCTCTAGATGCATGCTCAAATTAAAACAAATACATGAATAAATAAAATATTACCACCCTATTACAATAGTTAACAGTAATAAGTGAATATAGTTCACTGTTGCCCCTTTAAAAAAAAAAAAAAAACTACTAATATATAAAAACACCTTCCCCAGTGGCACTGTGAGCAGTAAATCAAAAATAAAAACTCAGAAAAAGTCCATCTTAACATAAGTCCATCAAATTGTGTGAATTAACATACATAATTTGATGGATTTATCACTTTAAGTGCTTCAATCTTCCTGTTGCTTTACATCCCAAACCAATATCACCACATGCTCATGAGACACATTTCCTTCTGGGTGTGCACTCACCAGACCTACATGCCTCCCACTCTCATGGTTGTAATGTATCGTTTGTTGAACCTCCACTCAGTATCGCTGTATAGACTTCATAAACCTCCATACTTCTCTCCATCAGCTATTATTGCCATGGTAAGATAAAATATATTCCCCAATGGTACATTAACCAATGTTCCAAATTTTTATTCAATAAGATTAAAAAGCCACTCACAAAGTATATAAATTAAAAACGCTTATCATAACTTTGTGGATTGACATCAGATGTGGGTGTTGGTGTTGTGCTCTCACCACCTCTGGACCTCTCAGACAGTGCTCCAGCGTCGCTTCCAGTTCTGGCTCTGATGTCACATCCAGTCGCCATGCAGCCTCGCCATAGGGTTATTGTATCAATTGGCTATTGTACCATTGGAGAGAATATCTTTTATCTTTCCACGGCAATGATACCTGGTGGAGAGGAGTAACTAGGTTTATGAAGTCTATACAACGACACTTTAAGTGGAGGTTCAACAAACGATACATGCCACCCATGAGTGTGGGAGGCATGTTGGTCTGGTGAGTGCACACCCAGAAGGCAATGTTGTCTCACAAGCACGTGGTGATATTGGTTTGGGATGTAAAGCAACAGGAAGATTGTAGCACTTAAAGTGATACTCACATAATTTGATGGATTTACGTTAAGATGGACTTTTTTCAGTTGCACTTAAGGAGTTCATATTTTTTATTTACTGTTCACATAGACCCCCCACTCCTAGTTTAAAAAGCTTAGCTGGTGCCTGCTGCTATTGTGAATTTAATGTATCAATGCAGAATATAAGCTGAGCAAAATGTTTAACTTTTTCTAGTATGTAATAATGTAATTTCCTTTTATATGGTTGTTTTTTTCTTATTCCAGAACATAAATGTCCAGATGGATTCCAATACCCTGCATGAAATCCTCAATGAAGTTGATTTGAATAAGAATGGACAAGTTGAGCTCAATGAATTCCTGCAGGTCAGTATTCTTATTTCAATCACTTCTTAGTTAGAAGAAAGTTGATTTTGTGGTTTTGGACGTCACTCTTTCATGAGTTTGATATCAGTGGAGGCTATATTGTCAATGGTGTAATTGTAGCCATAGCAACCCATGAGGCCAGGGGTGTGGATGGTTCCTACTGATCATTTATCCTGAAGTGTAAAGTTTTTTTTTCTCTCCACATGTTGCTCTTTTCAGTCAGGAAAGGGTGTGTGTCTTTGGGCCTACCCTGAAGTCTAGGGGAAGGATATGTGGCCATTAGGCTTTTTCCTCTCCTGTCTCGGGAACGGGTCTCTCTTTGGGAGAGCCTCCCGCCTAATACTTAGTGGTCAGCTTTGGCTGATCATAAGGAGAGGGGTCCACCAGGCCTTTTGGCTAGGTGGAGCTGAGTGTGCCTTACCCTTGAGCCCTGGGTGGTAAAGAAGGGGCCCTTCCTCTTCAGGAGGGCACCAGTGACACACCCTAAGTGCACTTTTTGTGTGTGTTCACATGCACTTGTTTTGGTTCATTTACTGGTGTTTTGTTTGTGTGCACCGCACCTCCGGCTCAAGAAAATAAATGCTGTCAGATGCACAGAACAGTTCTTTTTTGGATTTATAGTCACAACCTCCCTTGCTTTTCCACATCTGTGTGTAGATTCATTGCCTTCAAAGATTCTGGTCATCCTGGCCAGCTGACATTAACCCATATGCCTAACAGTTCCTGAGGCTAAAAAATCTTAAGAGTGTCTCCTAAGCTAAAAAGTAATTTAATGTCTGTATTTCTGCAAAACAAGCCACAGTTAAAAGAGGTTTGAATGAAGAGCTACACTACAATGTTCAGCCTTTGCAGGCTGGGGTGCTGGAAGGGTGCTTAAAATTTACACCAAAGCTCTAAGATCTTATGAATTCCCCACACTCCTGCCCTTCTCTTCCGGAAACTTGGGTAAGGTGTATGGGCATATGCAAAGAATATTTTTTTTTTTTTTAATACAACTATACACTATACTCGTGTTTACGATAGCACGGCGTATACTTGAGTACAACTGTGGCTGTGCGCAGCACTTGGGCTTCCTGAGCAATGGAAAATATGCGAGAATTTACTTTGCACAGTGTCAGACGCCCATGTGCAAGAGGCTTTTTACAGTATTGTAACTGGACAATTGCAGGGTCAATCAGCAGCTGGTTGGAGCAGCCATCAGCAACTTCATATCCTGATGATGTCTTCTTCTTTATCCTAAATTAAGTCTTTTATCCCAAATTATATTGGAATACATTTTTACCTGGAAAATTAATTTTTGGCGTGGTGCTTCAAACTCCAGATCCATTTACAAACCAAGAAAACTGTAGAAATCCTTTGGCATGGGGAAACTGCCAGTCCAAAATCCAGATACCCTGCTGAAATACCATCAAAACACCTTAATAATAGGATACGATTCCAGCCCCACTCTTCCTGTTTCCCCATAAAAATACAGATTTTACAGGGGCTCTAGCCTTCCTCTACTCCACTAAATAAAAACATTTTTATTTCTATCATTGTTTCTCTTGGAGGGTTCCCCTCACTTGCTGTTTGGTAAAACTGTTGTCACCAAGGCAAGACATGAGGGGAAATCTCTATACTGAATTTTGGGTAGCAGTAAAAACCAGATACGGGTTTTAATCCTATCCCACGCTATTCAAAACTATGAACATTTTTGTGGCTGGACATACACTTGAAGATCATTTACACTATTGTCCCAATTGACATTGCCTAGTGCCACACACAGAGGTCTTTGAGGGCCACATCCAAATTGTATTGATTTGTAGCTGTTGATAATTTTTAATAAAAACATTCTGCTGCTTTTATACTACTTTTTGGCTTGTTGAAGTCTACTGTAATTTGATTTAACTTTGCACAGTGTCAGACGCCCATGTGCAAGAGGCTTTTTACAGTATTGTAACTGGACAATTGCAGGGTCAATCAGCAGCTGGTTGGAGCAGCCATCAGCAACTTCATATCCTGATGATGTCTTCTTCTTTATCCTAAATTAAGTCTTTTATCCCAAATTATATTGGAATACATTTTTACCTGGAAAATTAATTTTTGGCGTGGTGCTTCAAACTCCAGATCCATTTACAAACCAAGAAAACTGTAGAAATCCTTTGGCATGGGGAAACTGCCAGTCCAAAATCCAGATACCCTGCTGAAATACCATCAAAACACCTTAATAATAGGATACGATTCCAGCCCCACTCTTCCTGTTTCCCCATAAAATACAGATTTTACAGGGGCTCTAGCCTTCCTCTACTCCACTAAATAAAAACATTTTTATTTCTATCATTGTTTCTCTTGGAGGGTTCCCCTCACTTGCTGTTTGGTAAAACTGTTGTCACCAAGGCAAGACATGAGGGGAAATCTCTATACTGAATTTTGGGTAGCAGTAAAAACCAGATACGGGTTTTAATCCTATCCCACGCTATTCAAAACTATGAACATTTTTGTGCTGGACATACACTTGAAGATCATTTACACTATTGTCCCAATTGACATTGCCTAGTGCCACACACAGAGGTCTTTGAGGGCCACATCCAAATTGTATTGATTTGTAGCTGTTGATAATTTTTAATAAAAACATTCTGCTGCTTTTATACTGCTTTTTGGCTTGTTGAAGTCTACTGTAATTTGATTTGTCCACTCCTAGTATAGTCCGTCTTTGCTGTATCCCTTTTATATTTCTTTTTTAGAATCCAAATGTTTTTTTTTTTTCAGCTTGGCAATTATCTTGTACAACCAACTTTGTTTAAAGCGAAGCCTCATCAAAAACCTTTTTTTTGACAGCTGATGGGAAGCTTAGAACTTCTGTCAGGTTTTTATTGCTATCTATTTCCCAAAGGGGAGGTATCTTCTTCTTGGGCTGCTTATAGTGGTCACTTAGACAGGAGTCGAGAGGAAATGTTTTCAGGGACACAGACAGCAGTTTCACACGTGACCCAACATGTCCTGAGTGACGGTAATAATCAGATGCATAGTCACAGTATTTTTTCCCCAAAATTCGATTGCCAAAAATTGGTCTTACAGTTCTTTTCAGCTTATCAGAAATATGGTAATCATGAGCATTTGTAATGTTCAGAAATGCCCTATGCCACTCTATAGCTAACTCCTACATCACCTAGCTGGCTTGTTGCATTACTTTGTTTTATTGAAGACAACAATAAAAACCTGACAGGCGCTCTATAAACATTTTCTTGTCTGTGTAAATTTATTATTTATTGCTGACTTTGTAAAACATTTTAACTTAGTGTTACTAAACCCACAGCAGTAAAATCAGTCTGCGTATGCAGTAAAGCATGCTTGTTATACTCACTGTGGAACCTAAGGGGTTAGTCTCCATTGTGTAAAAAGGCTGTTTGATCCTATCTTCTCTGATCCTCCTCTTCTTCTACTGTCCCCAATCCATCTGCCATAGTACAGTACAGCAGGTGCAAGTCTGCATATGCTCAGTTTGTTGTGTATTGCTAGTGAGCTTTTTTTTTTTTGTTTTTTTTTTGGGGGGAGGGTGCATGTGATCAGCACAGGGCCAATCAGCGCTGTTCAGACAGAGGGTCAGGGGTCATGAAGCCTCATTGGCCAGTCAAAGGAGAATAAAAAATCTTCCTACAAGGTTAACCAGTACTCGGCCAGACACTGATAGAAGTCTCAAGACTGCCGTATACTACACCTATAAGTGCCCAAACATTACCTGAAGCAGTCTGCCAAGTGGCAAAGTCCTGATGCTTCACTAGTGCAGAACTTGTCTGCCACATGCTGCTTGCTGAACATTTCTTTTGGTCATTGAGGCCACCCATCATAATGATTGTATTATAGGAATATGAAGGGGCAAGACATAGTGGCAAGCTCTGATACTACCTGAAAGTGTTATAACTTGTCTGCCAGAAAAAACACCATTTGGCTGTAACTACATGCTTTTTTTAGTGGACCTGAACCCCAAAATTTGGGATTCATTTAGAAATGTTAATTGTGCTCAGTCAGTACCAGGAAACATGGACCTTTTGACTTAAAGGCCTTGCTTACACATCTGTGGTGGATCTTTTTCAGAGGCATTTGACAGGTGGCTTGGATGCAATATGTGGCCTCCTCAGTGCCTATGTTAACCAATAAAAGCCCCACAACTTCCTGCATTGGTCCCATGTACCTGAATAGGTCACATTTTTGGTGGCAGTACCATTGCTGGGAGGTCATGGGGGGAGGGGGGGGGGGCAGCTTAACTGCAGCTCACCTGACCTTGTAAACAAGGCCAAAAAATAGCAGTGCACTCTCTGGCATGTGAATGAGCCCAGGCACCCCACAGTCTCACAGCTATAGCTCTGCAGTGTGAGATCTAAGGCATTACTGTCTCTGAGTACTGGTCTAAGTAGATTTGTTGTGAGATTTAGTGATGTCCCCTGCTCACTGTTCTCCTTGCTGGAGACTGCAGAATGAGGCATGAAAAATCAGTTGCAGGGAGACAACAGGCAGTAATGCTGACTAGCTCTTTGCCCTCTCCTTGCCCTATTCTGGGTACAGCTTCCAGAGTTCAGTTCATCTTAAGGTCTGCACTTAATACCTGCAACAGTTTATTTTTGTCTTGGAAAGAATCTTTTTAAACTAAAATGTTTTTTTTTTTTTTTTACATTACGCAGCCAGGAATCTAAATTAGGCACTCGTGGATAAAAATAGCAGCACTGAGTAAAGCCGCTAAAATTATCCATGTTTAGTTGTTTTTTTTTCGTTATGCTATTTTCTCTCCTTGCACGTTTTTTACTTCCTGCAGTGAAACAAATGATCTTACACACATATTTGATCTCTCCAGATCGTCAAGTTTATTTTCAAGTTTATTTCTGTAGCGCTTCTTACTCGGGCAGGTATTTGAGCCGTCTGCCAGTTCTTTCCTGAGCCAAGGCGATGATGAATGCGGAACATGAGATAAATTAATGCTGGGGATTTTGGTCAATGTCAGCCCTTTCTTCCTGATGTCAAGTTAAACAAACAAGATCAAGGGGAAAGGAAATGCTAATTGTCTCTCTTGAGATGAGCTTCGGATAAGAGCATTGTTGAACGTGAATGCTGAAAATTTTCAGCAGTTGTGTCCAGCATCACAAAAAAAGAATAATTATCCCTTTAATACATTTATCAGCAGCTCAATCAGATTAAATGCATATTCTATTAACCATTGACAACAATGAATTGTTCCTTTGAAATTATACTGGAAACATTTTTATTCCCCATCTGACAGCGAGCCCATACAAACGATTGGTTGTATATAGAATTATATCTTCCGGGAAAACTTGGCTGTCATCTTGAGCCCAGTGTGGGTATTGTAATTGCCAGGAAGATAAAGTAGACAATAATTCATTTTCATGATTTTATTTGAGGCCATTGGGAATCCGTTTTGAGCCTGGAGAATTCCGATTGCCAACGCACAGGTGAATGCTCACAAGTCAACACCGTTTAAGACATTACTAATCTCCTCCGCGGAAATTGATAACTAGTTTCATGCATCATTTACGGCTTGTGAGGCCGTGCCTCTTTTGAGTCGCAGAGCGCAGAAACATTTCATTTTGCCGACACAAAACATGCAACATTAGTTGAAAGGATAGTCAACTTTTCTTCTTGCAGATAAACTGTGTCATCTTAATAACCAATTTGTGCAAGTCATTTATCTTCATGGCTGTAAATATTAACCCTTGCATCTGTCTGTATTCTTTTGCCAAAATTGATTCAAGTACACAAGGATAGGTTTTTAAGAAATGTGATTTTTGTTAGACAAAATGTGTGTTCGATATTGGCAGTAAGCTTTTGTGAGTGTACTATCTGTTGGTCACTTGTGGGAAATAAAAAGATGCTGCTAGTTTTATGCATGCATATAACATCCCATACATACTGATTGGCAAATGCTCCCTTTTAAAGTGGTTGTTACTGGTCTTAGGTGATATACAGAGATGAAACAAATCCTCCTACATAAGTTGTACCTGATCATCTGCAGCCTTCTCTTCTCTACATCTGTTCAAAGTCCAGAATTTAAACAGCTTTTATGAGCTTTCAGAAAAGGGGGCAGAGAGCTGAAGATACACTCGGCAGAACTCAGCAAGCAGACCTCCGAGAGCTGATTGGAAGGAAGGGACACACAGCTCACAGGAGCAGAGCTGAGGCTGTCAATCACAAGCTGTTTTCTTGGTGTCAGGAAAACTTGTCAGAATTGATTCATGCTGATAGCAGAGGAACAAAGCAGCAGACAGAAATGACACTTAGTGCTCTTAATTGAATCAAGTAAACACTGTAGAGGGTTATGCTATGTTCATATTTCATGTCTGAGGTTTACAACCATTTTAACACAAACTTAAAGTGTATTCCAAGCCAAAACCTTTTATCTTAGATTGTGATACAGTAGGGGAGGGTTATACCCCTGTGCTTGAGATTTACTCTCTCTACCTGTCCTATTGACAATGTTTTACCCGACAGTGAGGGGGATTCTCCAAGAGTACAACAGACAACAATAAAAATGTTTTTCTTTAGCAGAGCAAGGGAAGGCTAGAATTCCTGTCAGATTTTTACTGCTGTGTTTGTCCCTATTACAGATTGTCCCTCTATTTTCTGTCTGGTGAAACACTTGTCAGTATGTCACGAAGTAATGCTTTGTATGTCTACTAGAGCCCTGGAAAGCAGTAAGAGGTTTTTTATTTTTTTCTCCACTCTATCCAAAGCTAGAACCTCCTATTTCCTGGCTCCTCCTTTCTGTCAAGTGCCCCCATAGAAAACAGCTTTCTATGGGGACACTCATGCGGGCTTGCTCCTGAGCCCTGCTGCCTGCATTTATAGATACAGGCAACGAAATTCAGCCCTGCCCTTGCTCCCTTGTCACTGGATTTAATTGACAGCCAACGGCTTCTGCTGCCTCAGCATAGCCTGTGAGACCAAGAAATGATGGCAGAGAAGAGTTTCAGACTGCCACAATGCTGAATCGACAGAGGACTCAGCTAAATAAGGGGAAGGGGGGTTAAAGGGGCAATAATGATGCCTAAACATTTTTTACCCTAATGCAAAGAATGTATTAAGGTAAAAAATGTTTAGACTTTTAAACAACTTTAATATTTCTAAGCCAATAATAAAGAGAGAAGGCAACATCAGTTTTACGTAGGTTCTCCTGCAAATACTCCAAACGTTAGAGCTGTAGCAAACCCCCACCATAACCCACAGTGCAATCCAGACACATCTCAACAGATCATGAAGGTGCCCATTACAAGAAGTGCTGGGAGCCAGTTCTAATACCAGCTTGCTGAGAATTGGTATTTGCATACTACATACTACTAAGAAAGTACTATCTGTCTGACACAAGCTGCGGATGTCATACCGAGGTAAATAGGCAGGTAGGTTGAGGGTATCTAGGTTAGTTTAAGTTAGGAGGGCTAGAGAGGGTGGACTAATGTACCTTGTACTAAATGTGCAATTCTTCTTTAAAGGTTCTATATAGAGATTTTAGTAGCTCAATTTTTTTTTATTGGGTTCTTAAAAAAATCTTACATACTATCAAAAAGACTCAGAACATATTACACTTATCAATGCCATGAATAATTTCAGTAGCTCAATTTTTTTTTACCAATATAGTGCTTTTTTATTTATATCAGAGTTTCCCTCGAATCACCCCCCATGACCGGCTGTTGTGATTTAACATCCATATGGGGGACTTGCAGCTATTCTGTCTTACAGTCTGTCATTGGAAAGCACTGATCATAGGCAAAAGTAAAAGAGCCAATCAGACTGACTCTATACCTTGTGGTCACTGTGAACCAATCACAGCAACCACAAGTGTAAACACTGGTTATGATTTGCCGCCAGCTCTCCCCTTCCTCTCATACACACACAGCCATTGTGAGAAGAAGGGGAGAGCTAGGCGCCAACCACAGCCTGTGTTTTTGGAAATTACTGCCACTGTTGCTGATCACAGACCGTGTCATAGATAATGTTTCCAAAGTTGCTAACCATAGCCAGTGTTTCTGATTATACCCAGTGCCAGTGTTTCCAGTGTTTCAGATCACAGCCAGTGTCAGTGTTTTCAAACTTGTTGCAAAAAATGTGAAATCTTAAAGGCTCACCATGCTTCTTGGCAAATACTTTGGGGTGGCTGCTCTCCAAAATACAGTCATGGAATGTTTCAACTGTCCTGGCATTTCAGGACCTCCAAAAAAGAGCTCCTCTACAGTATGTTGTTAGGCAGCAAAAAAAAAAAATCGATATGAGGTATACCTGTAGTTAGGAAGAGTAGCAGAATGCGTCTTCGCTATTTCTAAGAGCATGACCTTACTCTGTGTGAAAAATAACTCATAAACATAAAAACTTTGTGAAAAGTCAAATTTTAATTTGCTTTCTTCATTTCCCAAACATTTTGGCAAAAAGGAGATACTCTAAAGCAGCCTTTCTCAATCTTTTCAACACAGAGGAACCCTTGAAATAACTTGAGTTGTCAACATTCCAAAAAAGGATCATTTTGCTAGTGTTTATACTGTCCTGGTATTTTTGTGCCTCAAGAAAAACTATAGGCAGTGAGAACATCAGATTTCATAAACTTCGAATATATATACCATAGTTTCTAAGCTCTATGGGGTTGATTTACTAAAGGCAAATAAACTTAACACTGGCTAGATAATATACACTTATTTTGGTTGTTTTACCATTGGAATGTAGCAGAATGTATTACATCACAGCACTGAAAAATGACCAGGAGAGGGGCTGTTACATGCTAGTATTGAGGTGGTTAACTGACTCTTGCTCCAATGCTAGACCTGGATTATGGCATGATTGACTATTTTGACAAAATGCAGCTATGCTATATATTTTTGAATGACAGTTTGTTCCTTTTGTTAAAGCTTATGAGCGCAATCCAGAAAGGATTTGTATCAAGCAGCCGTCTGGCCATACTGATGAAAAGCGCAGAGGAGAACTTGGATCAAAGGGAGCCCATACCAGTGGACCGCAGCGGTGGTGGCGTGTGAGTCTCAGAGAAAATGGACGCGCATTGCTGCTTCTCTGTGTTGGACATCATTCCAAGGCTTTTTGGCTGTATATGCTGCAAATTTGGCACACAGCATGAACTTGATATTGATATTTTTTTTCTGAGTAACAAATGAACTATGAAAAACCATTTATACTCCAGTATGTTGTGGCTCGGTAAATTCTGTGGCCAGTGAGTCTTTCTGATGGCTCTGAAAAGTGAGAGTTCACACTCCTTGTCTAGGTTGTAAGCAAGGCCTTTAAATGTGTATTATAAGTTTATATAATAATTTTCGATTTTAAATGTAAATTTAATTGATTCTAAAAGGGAACTTATAACACCACAAAAGGGAACTTATAACACCACAAAAGGGAACTTATAACACCACAAAAGGGAACTTATAACACCACAAAATTATACCGTATTCTCTCCCTATGTAGTAAGTGGCCTCAAGCCCTGTAGCAGCTTGTCAACTCTTACATATTTCCTGTATTGCACTGGTAACATGAAAAGGAGAATCTGATTTGTGTATGGTCAACAAGATCTGTATATGGGAAGGATCATTGCTGTGCTACAACCATTAAATCTAGAGATGAGCGAATCCATTAAAACGCACGCCCCTTTGAAACTACCAGTCAGTGTTCATAGGCCCAGGGCCCTTTTATATCTCCATTGCTCCAACAGGAGGTGCTTTAATGCCAACAGAATGCCACAGTATTTATTAAATAAACCAATTTCCCACATTTTCACCTTATTAAAATGTGGACAATAATAAAAGGGTTATTTTGTGTATTAATCTCTCACACGTCAGGCCTCCCGTTTAACTAAAAAAACCCCATCAAGGTCAGATGATGAAGGATCAAAATTCCTCTCCATTGGCCTCTGGCCCCAGACTAATGTTTCATATTCACATACCATAGATGACCAGTCAGCCATTAGTTCGATCCTTTCAAGCAATCTTCAGCTGAAGACAGTCATTTGTCACAATAAAGAAGTAGATTTGGTCAAATTAAATTGGAGTTTCCTCTAAAATCAATTGTTTCTATTAGATAAAAATGATCATTTATTGGTCAAACTGCTAATGTAATCGATTTATGAGATAAACAGTTCATCCCTCAAAACAATTGTTACATGCATGGCTAGCATAAAGGAATTACACAGAGATTCTTTAAATTAATTGAAAACCTGTTTTTGATCAGTGCAGAATATATCCTTTTCCACACAGGCCTTTAGATGGGGGTCATACTCATTGTACATATGGGATATCCAGGAAGCTTCACAAAATATAGGTTTCATGGTCCGTATAGTATACATGGTGAACAACTGTGAGTCACAGATGTCCCATTCACCCCACATTTCTGAATCTCCCTTTGGGGCCCCGCGAAGGAGTATTTGAGCTTAGTGCATGTCAGCACCAGCTGGGTGTTTTTAGAAAGGGGAACCACATTTTTAGAGCTGCACTACAGAAGAACCCACAGCTGCACACCATATGGGCTGGTAAGCATGCCAGGGTGTACATGTGCTTGAGGATCTTTAGCTACAGGAATATTAGCCAAAATGCCTGGTGTGTTGGGCTGGTATCATCTGAGGGTTTTTTCTAGGGTTTCTATAAGAACTTAAAAGTTAAAAAAAAACCTGGCATAAAACATACCCGTGGATTTGAAGGTATTTTTAAAGCTTCTCCCATCTGTAGTTGCAACCGTCTACTTACCTTTCCTATTCCATTCTAACCTTTCCATTCTAACCATTATAATTGCTTATAACTGCTTCAGCACTGGTTTTCCAGGAAAATTGTATTTAAGTGAGTTGAGGATCTTGTATGCCTCATCTTAGTGTCTGGGGATGTGGCCAGTAATGATTATTACTCACAGCCTTTCATTGGTTGCTGGATGTGACCATTGCTCCATTTCATGTTCTTTGCATAGACAGCATCGTTTTTTTATAAAAAATAGGCCATACTTTAGACCATTGAGTACTTTTTTATTTAATGTTGGCAGCTTGCTTTTGCCATTATTATTTTATAGCTATTTTAAACAAGACACTTCATCAGAGGTATCTGATCTTGAAACATCTTAACCGTATGACTACATACAAAAGATGAAGCCATTTTGTCGTATTGATAGTACTTCTGAAAACTCACTAAAAATTTTGAAAAACTTGTAATACTCACTGTGGAGATTAAGGGGTTAATCCTCTTCGTTGTGTAAAAAGGATGTTAGATCCTTTTCACTTCCTGTTTCATTAACAATGTTTTTGTGCATACAGGAAGTAGCTATAAATTTCCCCAAAGTGCCACAGATGGCAAGAAGACACCAAACATAAGTTGTTATCCTTCCCTATTCTGCCCATAGCCAAAAATGCTTTTGACTATAGTATGAATCTTAATATTCACAAAAAAAGTTGTAAAGTAGCAGTAATATTGAAATGTGCCTAAATGTGTTTCCAAGCACTCCAGGACACCCACAGTCACTGATGGGCTTGCCCCCTTCTGCCTTCTGTGCCTAACTATTGGTTATTGAGCCCACCAATCATACTTGAGGACCAATAATTGCTCTCTGCACTGTCAGTGCTGTTATGTCTAGGATTAGGTTAGGTAAGGCTGTGGTCACTATGTTGAAAACACAGCCCAACATTGTAGTAGGACAAACAGAACAAACATCTATGCAGAAAAGCATTAAATATACGCACAACTAATCATTTTTTTTAATTATTAGGCACAATTTTAAAAAAATGTATATTAATACAGTGGTTGAGATTTAGCAGTATATATGGCAACTTATTTGGTATTACGTGTGCCTTTTTCCAGGTGCCAGCATTTTAATTTTCAGAGGCATTTTGCTGCTGAAATTATAGTGATGCTGTTTAAACATAATACTGTTTTACAGGACCAGCAACAAAATCCCTTTGTTTCATATTTACGAAGTTAGAATGTCAAATATTTCTTCAGACCTTTAAATACTGTTTATATGTATTACTTAGAAGTATTATACTTTAAAAGCCATTATAATATGATAGTAAGAATTCATTCTAGTATTTGGGATATTTTTATAAGCCACACAACACTGAAGATTTTGTTTTCTGTATTGGATTCCAAATGAATTCAAATCTCTCATGGCAACAGAATTTTGTCTGTGTATTTCCAGCCCTGTCTGCTGCTGTGGGTATTAGGAACTCCCTCTGTTGGGTGTTACTTTTCTTTTACATTAAAGAGATTGCAGCAGGAGGAATAGGCTTCTATAGCATATGGAAAGATCAAGGGCTTCTTCTGCTTTAGAGACCCCATGAGAGATGTGATATCTCTGCTGGGCCATTCAGCTCAACAGCACCTTCCCATGACAGAAATATGGCTTTTGTAAAGGATAGACCTTTTTAAAGAAGTATTCATCAAAGTAGAATGTGCATATAAATGTGCAAAGTAACCTACCGAATAGTCATTTTATATAATGTAAATATAAATACATAAACTTTTTTTTATCGCCCCTCACCCCATACCTCTAATAGTTGAAAGCATATGGACTAGTTTGAATATTTTGACCTCAACAACTGTGGTTGTTATATATTAAAAGGCAACTCCAGACTTCTGAAATGCAACATCCCAAGCACTCCTTAAGTGTGCACTTTTCATGTAATACAGTATATGCCTCCTTAACTTAGCTCATTTTTATTCAATGCATTTAGTGACAGTTTTATAACTCCAACAGCTCCTTATTCTTTGCATGTGTACCATTCAAATATGTATCATGCAAGTGTTTACCGTTCAACAGGGATACTGGTGATGCCAAATTCACAAAACCAAAGTTTCCCTTTTATTTCTTCTGTTTCATTGAGATGCTCTCAATCATCCTAAAAAATGGATAGGGCAGTAGAGGTACTTGGTCCAACAAGGTTATATAAGAGGAAGCATTGCCATTTTTTCTTTTTATAAGCTCTCCCACAGCCAGCAGAACTGATATGCATTTGTTTTTTGATATGTGAACAGCTCCTTTATTGCAAACTATCTATAGATTCTTAACACTGGAGTTCTTTTCCTTAATAAAAAAAAACTGTGATTCTAATAAAGCCCATGGATGGCTTTTAGGTATTTATTAACACATTAATTTGCAATGTTTCAGTCTACAGGCCAGCAATGCCAAATATAGCCTTCTGTGTGCCACATGTTTGCGTCTATTAAGCATGCTGAATGCTGCCATTTGTGCTGTGACAACGCTTTGTGATTTTATATAAATGCTGCTGCTGACTTTAAAACTTGTATCGCACAATTGCATAATGAAAAATGTCTTATTTGCTGCTGCAACGCTACTGAAATTTAAATAGAGGATACTGTAAGATTTATTTTTTTTTAATGTGAACTTTGTGCATCGCCTTTAGGATAATAATTCCTAAAACACTCCGTTTATCTGATGTATACAAGATGGGCAGTATGGTTTTGTTATTACAAGAGTTCTATGCTTGGTCATTTTTAGTAGGCCAACATTGCACTGATCTAGATTCAGCTCTTTCAAATGAAACTATCGAAAACGAGATGTAGAAGTGTGCATGTTTTTACTATTTGCTTTTTATATATTTTTGTGTGTTGTATTCATGTTTGATTTTGAGGTAAGCATTTATATCTTAAATGACAAAACACTTCTGTTTTTAAATGAAACCAGTAATGGAAGCAGTATGTAACCGAAACTAACAGCACATGCCTTCCTTTCACTCCTCCGAGATTTCTTTCAACTGTTGGTGCAAATAAAGACAGCCCTGTGTAAGCTCCTGATAGAGATTACACAAGGTTGAGGGCAATCTTTCTGTCCCCATGTGACAGCACAGTGAGACATGTGCACCTCCATACCTGGAAGTACTGAGCATTTTCTCTACTCCTAAGGGTTAAATGACCAGTGAAGTAAAGGAAACGTGATTATGCTGCTGTGAAGGTTCAAATTAGCTGCCTTTATCAGTGAATTCTATTCTATCTGTTCTGTGACAGATTCTTAAATATAGTGATCTTGTGCATGGTTC